AGGTTTGATAGGTACTGTAAGTTTTGATGACTGGTAATTCTACATAAACCTTCTAAAATTGCCACAACCAGAAATACTTCCTTTTCTTCAGAAAAAAATATATCCTATTTTTTCATTTTCTGTTTAGTTAGCTTGATTTTTTTGGATCATTCATATCCTCATTATTATTTCACCTACCTAAGTCCCATATTAGTAAGAGATGTTTCTGTACAACTTGTGTACTGCTCCACCATTGTTGCCACACAACTACACAGCTGTGGTAGCAGTAGGACTTTTCCCGAGGTGATGATCACCTATTTTGTTACACCTCAGTTATAAACTTCAGTTCCTGACTCTTCCGCACCGAAGGCTAGCTCCCTTTAAAGTTAAATTTTATCAGAGGGACTTTTAAGCAAAAAAAACCCCAACAATCAAGGGAACAATCTCTAAAGGAATTAGCCGTCTGACACCTCTAAATTATAGGATTTTTTTTTTTTTTTTTTGCATTGGAAGTCCATCTCTATATAACTTCCAGTAAGCTGCAGTTACAGTACCACATTGAAACTACGCTAAATGGAAAACTGCAGGCTGGTGACCCACAAACAAATGTAAGCAGAAGAGATGGCACATCTGCATTCCCCATTCTTTCCGTAAACCACACTATCCTTTTAGCTACTGTTTTGGCGCAGTTTCTTCTGGCTGAGCCAGAGTTTAGACCATGGCTAATCTGTGGTCATAACATAATGAGAGCAGAATGCGAAGAGATTTTACTCTTTTGCAGCACAGTTGTGGTAGATGAACTTTTACCTTCAGCTAAACCCAGGGGCAGGACGAGGAACTTTTCTATAAAACTTTCTTAGTAGTCACAGAGGAAGCCACAGATTTACCATTTTTTTCCATGTTTTCTACTGTTGAATCTGCATGTTCAGCCAAGCCATCGCCTTGCATGAAGCAAGTGGTTTTATTTGTGACAATTTGACCAGAAATTATTGGATCACGTAGGAAAAGAGCAAATGTGTATCCATGTTTTGTTTTGCATTTCTAGTCCACTTAAAATCTCAGTTTGACAGCCTTTACTTTCAGTACCCTGCTGCCTTTATGCCTAAATGCATTCAGCTGAGCTATTGTGTTCATTTATCGCATTCTGGTACAGTTTGTTCAAGAGAAGGAGCTCACGCAGAGTCCTGTACAACGTTGATAATTGACTTGTGTGGGAAACAAGGAATTCAGGAGATCTACACCAAGAGTGCCAAGCCTTATGCAAGTCAATGTGACAGTTTCCTCCAGTCATTCATGAAGGCTGGAAACTTTACATGGAAACTGGAAACAATCAATCGGAAGATACTTGTTCGTACAAATGGAACTGGTCATTATATATGTATATAAAAAACCCTTATATATTTATATATAGAAATATATCTTATATAAATATATATTTAGATATTTATATAAATATAAATACTTATAAACTGGTAAGCCAAGAGTATTTGAATCCCAAACAAAACTGCTCCCTGCTCAAAATTCCTGTGCCCGTTGAAGGAACACCTGTGAGATGAAGAATTAAGAGTCCTGTCAGGAGGAAGTGAAAAGAAAGTGGGACTTTAGGGATACATTCCTTTGGAGGTAGGGTGTAAGAGACCAAGTCTTAATCTGTATTGTGTGTGCATCGCTAATCCTCTCCACTGTAGCTGTTGCCACTTCTGGCTGTGTTATGATCCATTTTCCTAGAAGAGTTTGTACATCTTACAGCCCTTAATTTAGCTTGTACATAAAGCTGGTGAATTAAACAGAATTCATTATTAAGACATTGTAGAGCCTGTATCTAAGATCCTGCTGGACCTCTCAAAATGTAAGTGAAGTTTGATTCTGTTCAGTTCATTTCATCATGTTAACAAGTGCCACTGTGACTTTATTTACCCCTGGAGATGAGGACATGGTCTGCATGGGCTTTAAATACTGTATGTTCCAGCTATAAATATGATGCAGGCATCAACAGAAATATTCTAATTTAGGAGGGTTTCCCAGTATATCATTTTCTCAAATTCTTAACCTGTTTCAGTGAAAATAGCTATATTTGTTCTTGATGCACGTAGCTGAGGATAGAAACAGGAAAAACCATAACATGTACTTTCTTGCACACTGTCTGTTTATAGAAGTAGGGAGAGACTTATGTCTTGTTGATTATAGGTATTATGCAATTGAGGCAATTTTGCTCATGCCTTTGAAGTAAAGGCATAAAATTTAATTTATTTTTCTTTGTCTTGGTTTTAAACAATTATTTGATTTTCAGTTAAATAGACAAGAAATTCAAGTTTGAAAGCTGGAACATTCATACATTTTAAAAGTTATAAATGTAATGCTGTTCTTGAATCTTTATTCTGTTTCATTTTGGATCTGTGTTATGACAATTTGCAATTCCATGATCATGTGCAGTTTTAAACAAAGATTTCTACCACATGAAAATTATTTGTTGAATGATGTAAAAATGTGTAAAAGATCAAATCAAGGTCAATCAAAAGCATTTCGGGATTTAGGTCAAAGCTGTCAAATATTGAATACCTTACCAAACAAAATCAGGCATAATAGTAAAAATGTTTTGTTTCAATGTTTTCTGAAAAAGAACAGTGTGATTTTTTCCATTTGCTGCAACACTTCATTTAAAATGTGTTTTGATTTTAAAAATAATTTTTTTTGAACTTCAGTGAAATGGAAAATGCTGGCTAAGAAAGAGAATAAAGCCTTTCTGTTTAAATCTTTCCAATCAAACATCAGTTATCTTTGGTTGGCAAGAAGAACTCTAAATGCTTTGGTGGGGGGAGGGGAGAGTATAAGCCACCCAACTTATGAAATCTTGTATTTACATACATATGTTCAGGCCTTGTTCAATGTCCAAAGTGTCAAGTGAGGCAATGATATGGGATAAACCAAACAGAAATTCATAATACTCATGTATTAGCTACTGCCTGCTGTGGATGCTTGGCAGTGTATAATATAAAGCAAGCAATTTGAACCATTAAGCCCAAGAAATACAAATTGCTCTGGTGTTGGATGGCTGTGTCTGTCTGAGCTGTAAATAAAGGAGTCAACATGCAGGAAGGCTACAAAATCCTCATGCGTAGGAGGAAGCATTTGGTGTATGTGGATGTCTGTACCTTAATACTTTTTCCAACTTCAAGTGTAAACATTTTGTACCAAATATTATCATAGCATCATAGAATAGTTTGGGTTGGAAGGGACCTTTAAAGGTCATCTAGTCCAGCCCCCCTGCAATGAGCAGGGACATCTTCCACTAGATCAGGTTGCTCAGAGCCCCGTCCAACCTGACCTTGAATGTTTCCAGGGATGGGGCATCTACCACCTCTCTGGGAAACCTGTGCCTGTGTTTCACCAGCCTCGTCGTAAAAAATGTCTTCCTTATATGTAGTCTGAAATTCTGATATTCATAGTGCTGATACTGCAAAAATATTTGCAAAGAACTTCACATGCAGAGTCCAGTAGCATCATGTCATTCCCTGGCCAGGGATCATTTCACCCATCATAAACACCTGACTAATATCTACATTTTTAGTACCTTATGGAGACATTTTCTTAAATAAATGATCATATTTCCCACATAGTCACTGAAGAGAGGTGGACACTTCTGTGTGCATCCAATCTCTCTCTGGAAAGCTTTCCAGGCCAAATAGGAAACATTGGCATTAGACCCTTAAAAATCAGGAAAAAGTTAAGTACTTACTTTGAAAGCAGTGAGTCATACCCGCAACTTTTGTTTTTATTTTTCTCACAAGGGTTGATGAGGCTGACTAATTGTAGCAGTCATTTCATGGCCCTACATCATTTCAGTTTTGACAAAGAACAGAAATTACGAATATAGAAATGGCATGTGGCAGAACAGGCACATGCTTAGAGCTACCCTTATCTTTCTCAGAGCAAGGTTATATCTACACAATGTCGAATGCACAAACCTGAACTCAGTTCAAGGTAGCTACTCTAATGAGTTAGACGTATTGCAAAACTGCTCAGCTGGGTAAATACTAAGCTGTGGTTAGTCTAACACTGAGCTCTGCAGTACCACACTTTCTTTAAAGCAAGTGCAGGGCTAATTCAGGTATATCTGTACTGAACTAATCAACCACAGCACCCCCAGCCGGTCAGAAGAGAGGATTATCCCGCTGTATTCAGCCTTGGTGCGGCCTCAGCTTGAGCGCTGTGTGCAGTTCTGGGCCCCACAATTTAAGACGGATGTGAAGGCCCCCCAGATATGGCCAGAGGAGGGAAAAAAAGCTGGTGAAAGGACTGGAAGGAATGTCCTATGAGAAGAGGCTGAGGACTTTGGGGTTGTCTACTGTGGAGAAAAGGAGTCTGAGGGGTGACCTCATTGCTCTCTACAGCTTCCTGAGGAGGGGGCGTGGGGAGGGAGGTGCTGAGCTCTTCTCCCTGGGACCCAGCGATAGAACGCGTGGGAATGGTCCAAAGCAGCACCAGGGGAGGTTTAGACTGGACATTAGGAACTTTTCTTTACCCAGAGGGTGGTCAAACACTGGAGCAGGCTTCCTAGAGAGGTGGTTGATGCCCCAAGCCTGTCAGTGTTTCAGAGGCATTTGGACGATGCCCTCAATAACATGCTTCAACTTTTGGTCAGCCCTGAATCGGTCAGGCAGTTGGACTAGATGATTGTTGTAGGGCCCTTCCAACTGAAATAGTTTATTCTATTCTTTTATTTTCAACTACAGCTATAGGGTTGGCAGATCCCCACACTGTGTGTCAGGCTGTGATACTGACACTTCTACCCTGCACAAAAGAAAGCTTGACCCATCTTTTAAATTTGACTTCCTACAGGTAAAGTCACCTACATATATGCACATAAGAAGAATTTAAATCTTGCCTCATTGTACATAAGGAATTGGAAGAAAAGTTAATTATTCATTACAAATGCTGAGTTTCATTTTAACAGCATGTTAGTCTGGCTTATGGATTTGTTTAATGTGTGTCCTTCTGTCCCCTGCCATTTTTCCTGACAGAACTTTTGCAGTGGCCACAGATCAGCAAGTGCAGATCGCCTGAACTGGAGACATTTTCATGTTATTGGACTGATGGAAATTTTTATAACCTCACTGCTCCAGGAACAATACAACTATTGTACATGAAAAGGTAATAATATGGAAAGAACAAAAGAAAGAGGACAAGAGAGAGGTGTCATATTTTGCTATGCCTGTTAGCTTGTTTCTGTTGATTTTCTGCTATGATGTGAACTATACTGTTTTTAAGGGCATAAAACTGTGGATTAAGTGCATATTTTTCACTGTCAAAATTTTGTATTAATTATTAAGCAATTCGCAGCAACAAGCGTTACTTGGCAGATAATTAAGAACACATTCTTACTAAATTTAGGTCCAGGTTGCAGAATCCAAAACTGAATAGTGTATGGCATAGGAAAGGAGCTTTTAATAGGGAACTTCAGTTTATTCCTTATCAGCCTAACTTGCAACTGTGAGATTTGTTATATCTGTGCACAGATGTGGAGTTTGGATACAAGCCCCTTTCAAATTTTTATTGAAGTTTTATAAAGCTCCCATTGATCAGTTGCTAGATTAAGGTCTGAATGGGCAGGTCCAGATGAAAAAGTTGCTCTGAGACTGGGGATTACGTTTCATTGAGCCCTGTTCAATCCTGATTCGCATTCCACTTAAGCTTTTGTAATTTTCAGGTTGTTACAATGATTAGCCTGAAAGAGGACATAGGCATTACCAGTAATGGCTATTAAGGAAAACAGGCCTTTTGTTCACAGGAATAGGAGGATGTGAGTTTCTGTTCCATCTAATTTAGTGGGTTTCAACCTTTTTGATCCACAGACACTTTCTACTGGTGATGATACATTTGCTTAGCAAACTTAAGCCTAATGGCAAGGCTGGCTTTCTTCCTTTTACAAGACCCCTCAGAAATATAGGGATACCAGTTAAAACCACTATTTAAGTGTCAGTGTTTATCTGATGGTTGTCAGCAGCATGTGCTACGAGGGTACAAACTTTAAAAATTAATTAAAGTCTACAATAAAGCAGTACCCCATACATTGAGCAGATCACGTTTCATCTTTGTCCTAGAGATTAGAATGCTGCAATAAAGGATGTGAACTGAACATCTACATTAGAAATATTTCTGTTTCAATGTGCAAGCAACATTTAAGGTTCAGGACTGAACTCTGTCCTCTAACCCAGTCTCCTACTTAATATAAGCAATAGTATCTAACTGCATACACCTTTATCAAATCCTGACTCTGGGAGAGCTACAGCATTTCCTTTAGAAAAGTGTCTGGTCTCATCAGCTAAGCTTAGTGGCAGAAATTCTTCTTACTCAGTTTATGTAGCGTCTTCTTAAGCACCCACTCCAGTACTGAAGGCTGCCCTTGGCATAATTGATTTAGCTTAATCCTTCTTCTGTACAGCTTCAATGGCTCTCAGTAAGAAAAGGCATTATTTTTAACAAACCAAGACTGTAATTTTTTAAAAGAGCCTTGTTTGGTCTATATTTGGGCTGAGAGATAGTGTCGAGATAAAGAACAGCAACAGCAGATCTGTTCACTGTGAGATTTATTTTTCTAAAGTGACTTCAGAAATACTGAATAAATATCTGTCACTTTTCCTGTAGACTATTTCTAACAATTTGGTCATTCCTATTTTGCTTTAACTGAAGATGTTTTTGGTTTTGACCTACTGAGTAGTTTCAGCTTGGCTGTATGAAAATGGCCCTGCAGAAGGAGCACTTTTTCCCAGTCCTAGAGTTCATGCCACTCTTTATAAAGAGATGAAATGAACGTGATATTTCCTGCTGCAATTCTTTTATTTACAAAGAACCTGAATAAATTTTTGAACAAAGTCAGAATGGAAAAATGAAAGACGTTTCTTGCTAGTATTTCGAAGCCCGTGTGTTAGAAGTTCCATATCCCAAGGAATTTAGCCCTTCCTCACTCACAGTGCTGCATTTCTCTTCCCTTTGTTCACACCCTGCAGTCCTGGGTTGGTTTGTGCCAGATCTCCTGCAGCATCCACCCTCGGGCACTTTCCAGTGAGAGCAACCAATGCTCCAGTGCCTACATCCCAATTCAGCTCCCCATGGCAACACACTCACCTCGGCTTGGTTTTGCAGGCGGTGCAGTATTGATCTACCATAAGGACTGGCTTTCAGTGTTTCAGACTTCATTATTTAGATGGGCCTCTTACTGCAATTTAACTTTACCTGAACAACAGTTGTTAAATGCATGTCAAATTTACCTAAGTTTGTGCTTGCTGGTAGTCATTAGCACTTACCAGCAGAGCAAGGTGTGCTCTCTGACTGTTCCTTTGGAAGCAGCATCCAAAGCATAGAAATGCCACTGACAGTGGAATCGTAAATGGTTTAGGTTGGAAGGGACCTTAAAGATCATCTAGTTCCAACCCCCCTGCTATGGGCAGGGAGACCTCCCACTAGACCAGGTTGCTCAAAGCCCTGTCCAGCCTGGCCTTGAACACTTCCAGGGATGGGGCAGTTTGTTTCAGTGCCTCCCCACCCTCAGAGTGAAAACCTGCTTCCTCATATCTATTCTAAATCTCCCCTCTTCCAGTTTGAAGCCATTAGCCCTCGTCCTATCACTACATATTCTTGTAAAAAGTCCCTCTCCAGCCTTCTTGTAGGCCCCCTTTAGGTACTGGAAGGCCACAATGAGGTCTCCCCAGCACCTTCTCTTCTTCAGGCTGAACAACCCCAACTCTCTCAGCCTCTCCTCATAGGAGAGGTGCTCCAGCGCTCCTGATCATATTTGTGTCTGTCCTCTGGATCCGCTGCAACAGGTCCACGTCCTTATGTTGTGGGCACCAGAGCTGGAGGCAGTGGTCCAGAGTTGCAGATGGGGTCTCACCAGAGTAGAGTAGAGGCGCAGAATCACCTCCTTTGACCTGCTGGCCACACTGCTTCTCATGCAGCCCAGGATATGGTTGGCCTTCTGGGCTGCAAGAGCACGTTGACGGCTGTTGTTGAGTTTCTCATCAACCAACACCCCCAAGTCCTTCTCTTCAGGGCTGCTCTCAATCCATTCTCCACCCAGCCTGTATTTGTGCTTTGGGATTGAGCCAGCACACGTGCAGGACCTTGCAGTTGGCCTGGTTGAGTACATGAGGACCTACACTCATTTATGCAGGTTGCGTGGATAGTGGTTTGGTTTCACTGTAAATTCAGGCTGGATGGGGCTTTGAGCAACCTGGTCTAGTGGGAGGTGTCCCTGCCCATGGCAGAGGGGTTGGAACTCGATGATCTTCAAGGTCCCTTCCACCCTAAACCGTTCTATGATTCTATGATAAATCACAAGCAATATTGAAATGTTTTTCTCACTTCTATAAAAGTTATGCCTTATCAACAATGTGTCTGGTAACATCTGTAATTTGTACTTTTTAAGATCTATAAATCTCTCTCATGTATATTACATTTTTGTTGTCATTTTAGGAATGATGAAGACTGGAAAGAATGCCCTGATTATATCACTGCAGGAGAAAATAGTTGTTATTTCAACACGTCCTACACCTCTATTTGGATACCGTACTGTGTTAAGCTTGCCAATAAAGATGAAGTATTTGATGAAAAATGTTTCAGCGTTGATGAAATAGGTATGCTTCTATTATGCATTTTACCCTGTATTTTTATATCGCAATAGGTGTGATGATATAAGCTTTCATATTACTCATACTGTATTTAAATTTTCCCTCTCAGGAAGTTTAATTTCTAAAAAATATGATAAATAGGAAGGGATTTGGTTTTGTAATGTATGTAATGTGATCCACACCAGAAAATATTGCCCAGATTGGAAGAAAGCTAAAAGCGTGAAAGCAAATATGTGGTTTCTCTTTCTGAATAGCAATGGTCTCTCAAATGCATGCAGATGGGTTTGCCTTTGCTGTCACTCTGAGCCCTTCTAATGGATGCTACATACCCTTGTTCACAGTGAGCAAAGATGGCGTTAAAATTTTGATTTTCCAAATTTGTGGAACCAAAGAGTTTTTTGTCCCTGAATCAATACTGATCTAGAGTATCAGGATGTTTAGCATTTCTAAACTAGAATTTGTATTTATTGCAATATGAATTGTGACTGTCTGAGACTTTGTAGATGTTATTGCTTGTTCTGAGCAGTGGTGTAGGTACATGCAATAATTTATTCCTGCAAGTGACTAGAATACCCACTGCTTTCTTTTCCTCAGCTGAACAAAATTGGATTAATTTTTCAGATACCATATTTTTTCAATTTACTTCTATATTGATACTAAATGTTTATCTTTCTGTGTTAGTCCAATTATTGTTTTTATTTCTAGTGAGAACGCTAAATTTAAATTTTGATGGAGAATTGTTGATGTGTCAGTGTTTTATAAGCTGCTATTGGAAATGTAGTGTAAAAGGTAATACATTCTTAGTCTTCTTTATTAGTCACTCACGTGAGATTTATGCAGAGCATGTCTACCACCAATGGCAGCATGACTTCTTGTTACCAAACTTGTAGTGACTTTGTCATTGACTCGAAGGTTTAGATTTTAATCAGCAAATATGTGGTTAATATGCTTTTTTAGTCCTGAAATCATTTAACAGTGTGTAGTAAGAATGATGATTTCACATTGAAAACTGGCTGTTTTATTCCAAATACTCTGTTTAAACAGTACTGCCTGATCCTCCTGTCCACCTTAACTGGACTCTGCTAAATATTAGTCAGACTGGGATCCATGGGGATATTCAAGTAAAATGGGATCCGCCACCAACAGCAGATGTTCAGAAGGGATGGATTACTCTGGAGTATGAATTGCAGTACAAAGAAGTTAATGAGACAAAATGGAAGGAGGTATGAAGCAACTATTTATTATACAATAATCACAGTACAGTGCAGGCTTGTTCTATCCCTAACGCTTTTGTAGTACTATGAAAAGCAACAGGTTTGTAATTACTAATTAGATGATATCTTAAGTCTTAAACAATATACCCATTATCTTCTGAAGTTTTCTAGCAAACATTGTACTTTTATCTGTCAAGATAGTTGGCACGCATGATAATAATAACAAACCCTGAAATCCCTGTGTTAGATTAGAAAGTATAGCACTAGTCAGATATATACAAGTTTTTTCAAGGATAAAATGTTTATTTATTATTTTCCTAAACCTCAGCTATTTCAAACAGTGCATGGTATCTTTAGTAACTGGAACAGGAATATTTTGCTTGGAAAATGTCACCACCATGTCACTCCAGATTCTTCAGGGTACCTGTAAAGTTCTAATATTTATAATTATCATTTGAGTAGATTAAAAAAAAGGAAAGAAAAGCTTTGATTTATAATTTAAAATTTGATACAAATAAAAATAATGCAACATAGCTAAGACATACAGATTTCATACCAGACAGCAATGGGAAATTTGTGACTATATGGATAGTCCATGAAAATATAAACTATGTATGCCCCAAATCATTTACGTTTTCTTTTTGAGAATCAGTTAACTTCCCATGCAGTTAGTTTTCCTGTTATGGGGAAATTGTACCCACCTTACCTGATTGCATAGTCCAGTATGTTGTGGCATATTTGCACGTGGACAACTCTTCCTGAATACCAGTTCAATGGAATAAGAACCTCATTTTAAAGCAGAAATGTTCCTATGCTTTCTTATTAATATGAACTGAGTTAACCGACAGAAAGAAAAGCAGATAATACTGTTATGAATTTGTCTTAATCTACAAACGGCAAATTTACCAATTGAAACTGGTTTGCCTGCCTTCATCGGTGGAAGACCTTGGAACCCTCCTCACCTCTGACCCTTCTCAGTGTTAGCATTTCCTGTTTATTATTAGTAAGTCTACAGCCAAACATGGCTGTAATGTCTAAAGTTTTTTCCTAATACTTGTCTGAATTTCTGTCAATACTGGTTTAAGCTATACTTACTGTACAGCCTCTGCATTTTAAGGCCTACAAAATGAGTTAAGTTTAGGCAGTAAATCAATACTCCTTAAGAACCTGAAAATCTGCAGAGTATTTATGGGATTTACAAAAGCGGGTGGCCATACAGATACCTCTTTAAAAATGCATATTTTTTATTTTTTATAAGCCTTTAGGTATCAGTCGTATAAATACCCTAATAAACCTTTGTTCTTGCTCCAGTACCATCAATAATTCCAGCATGCCTTCTTCTCAGGAGAGCAAAGGTTTGAAGATCAGTGTTTCTTCTTTCAGAAAACAGATAAGGAATTGCTGAATACTATACTTGCCCCAAGAAAAATAGTACTATGGATTATGTTGTACTGCAGCTGTATATATTGTATGTTATTGTGCCTTTCAGCTTAAAAGCACAAACATGGCATAATTTCCCGACACACTATCAGAGCACAAAAGAGAAATTTCTGAACAAAATCTCGGTCAGGCCTAAGACAATAACAAAACTCTGAATTGGAGCAACGATTTCTCTCTTTGCATTCTTTGCTACAAATATCTTTTGCAATGAGTATTTAAGCAGTAAAGAGATAAATATTTAGTTATACTGTTATTACTATTTTTTTACACAAAGGATAATCATTGAATGCTTAAATATACCATAGTGTGTTGAACATATGAGATAAATGTCTAGTTATACTGTTATTACTAGTTTTTTACACAAAGAACAATCTTTGAATGCTTAAATATACCATAATTCTTGGTACATATACCTGATGCAAAAAAACTGATACAAAAATTAACTTGTAGTACTTAAATTGTACTAAGTCTCCCCCTTACTGAGACTTGTTTGTAATTTTTTTAGATGTTTTGAGATGAACCTGTTTGGTGTTTCATGTATATCATTCGTTTTTTCAATCCTAATTGAAAATAGGTAACTTATGAATTGGAAGAGGACTAAAACATTAGGTAGTTATAGCAGTAAGTTATAGGGATAAAAGGATCAAAATTATTTTCTGCGAAACTTCCTAAAAAGAGTAAAATGCCTACCTTCATATAGTGGGTGTTCATGAGACAGTGCCAAATGTAATCTGGTTCACAGTGTGAAAAAACATTTGCAATTTCAGGTACACAGCTACAGTAATTTTACCTCATATTTTTCAGGGCTCTAATTTAGCCTGCATACTGCTTTTTCCAAGTGCCACTTGGGGTACTTAAAATTTTGTGTGGTCCAGCATCCGTAAGAATCTCCACTAATTGTCTCAGAAAACAAACAAAGATAAACAAAACAAAAAAAACCCTACTTGTAAAATTTTAGTGTACTATTTCCTTTTGTCTTCATAGCACAAAATAAGTAAACTGGACTAGTATACATCGTATTCCCTTCCCAGCTCTTTCTAACTGGATAGTCTTCATATGTTAAAAACCTTTGTGGTGTAGCGCAATGGTTCTCCACGATCTTGTGCTCGACCACTAGCAGAGAAAAGCAGTCTGTCTGGGATCACTGCCTCCTCCACAATCTGACTGGTTGGTTCTCAGAACACTTGAATCTGGAGCCACCAGGGAACAGAGACCTTCACAGACAGTAGCTACCAACAGAATGTGTCTCAAGGTTAGATTATGCAGCTACAGTGATTGTATTGTTGAAACTTTCTTCAAATCTCCAATGGCTGCTGTTTTCCAGGTATTTTAATTCTTAGCCCACGATGAGTTTTGCCAGTATCATATTTGATTCTGAAGTAAAAGTAGAATATAGCATCTGCCACATTGCTTTCTATTTTGAGCACATTTTCTTTATTTTTATATATTTTTGTTGGGCTGTTGGAGCTAAAATACCTATTCTTAGAAGAGTAATAGAAGAGAGAGATTTCACATATTAGGACCTCTAATTTGACTTCCTACATAGTTTGATATATGGCATGGAAATATCAAGACTGACAATCTGATGCCAGGTCTCACAGAGAGAGATAAAATTATCACATTTTACATATAGTTGAAGATTTTCGGGACTATGCAGTGTTTCCCAAATAAATACATTTGTAAGATGCAATACATCTGTTTAGAAGGCCTTTACATCATTTTTCTTCTTAAAATTAATTCTGTAATAGAGATTGCACTGGTTTTAAGACTCATGTGTTATTTCAACAAGGTTTTTGGCATCGTGAAGTCAGTAATGTTGTGTTATAACAGTAAAAAGGATTTACAACTTTATGAGTGGGAGATCTTCACACCACCTACTTATGCCATGTAATTGAGGGCAGCTTCCTTTCTTCTCTGACTGTATTTACAGAGAGCTTAGTTTCTCCACATTTGGTCCCCTGAATCACAGCAAAGCTTGATGGCTACTAAGTCAAAAGTAAATGGTGTGAATTTTCTCTGAACTCTTCTTGTGGTATCGTTACAGTTCCAAGTAGCAAAAACTCCTTCAAATGTTTATTTCTGAAATCAAAAAGCAGTGTAAAATTGCCAGTACAACTCGAACAAATAAATCACAGTCCTTCTGTCTTTACAGTTAGAACCCAGGCTCTCAACAATGGTTCCACTGTACTCTCTGAAGATAGGAAGAGATTATGAGATAAGAGTCCGATCAAGACAACGTACCTCCGAAAAATTTGGCGAGTTCAGTGAAATCCTTTACGTATCTTTTTCTCAAACAGGCATTGAATTCGTTCATTGTGCTGAAGGTAAATAAGCAAAGTGCAGCAAACTGTGTTTATAACCATGCAGCCTTTTTGTCTTTTTGGTGGTGTTGGGGATTTTTTTCTCCTCGCCGTTGATGTTGTGTGCTTGAATAGATTGATAATTTAAAATCATTTGGTGAGATTGAGAATGTGCAAGTTCCATGTAAAAGTTCAGAAGTAAACTCAGCAAGACTGTTTCACAGCTCATCAGAGACCAAAAATACAGATAGCCTTAACAATTAGAAATAGTAACTGCTGTTGCACATCGTATAGAGCCTAAAATACATTTAAACTTCATACTTCATCATCTAAAATAAGTACTCTGGTAGTAAGGAGAAGAATTGTCACTTCTATTGAAGTGTTATACTGTTGGATAGTTTTATCAGAATGATGTGCTTTACTGATCTGCCCAATACTACCAAGGACAGTGAGTGTTCTTCTGATTCCTGCTTCTGTCTTGTACTTTTATTTTTGCCAAGTGCTAGTAAAGACAGAAGAAGAAACTGCCATTGAGCAGCGCATTTTTTTTACTAAAAGAATGAGTGCCTTTTTCTACAGCATTCTCAGGTCTAAGCTACTAAATTAACTCTTCAAAATATGAGCTCTTCAGCAAATTATTTTAATAAGCAGCTGCACTTCATTTTCCAGGGTATTAGTGAAGGTGTTAAATAAAACCACCCATAACTCTTATCTTTCAAAATCTTGCTAGATTCCCCTTTTTAACTCCTCATATTGCTAGTTTTCATTCCTCATTTATATGAACAGCTAATGGTCTGGATATGTGGCATTATTTTATAAACCCCAGCTGCATTGAGTTGTCAAGGTTTTCATATGAACAAAATGAAAATACTAGGAAAACCTAAGACCATCCTACAAGCACAGTTTTCTTCAATCACTACAACCCAGATTCTGCAAGTTGGTCCGTATCCATACATCTCACATAGCAGCAGTGATCTGATTTGAGAACTTATTCTTGCTTGCTTTATATATCACCTTTAGCATACAGATCTAAAATTTAGATTTTTCTATGTATTACAAATTTAAAGCAGTTTAATTCAAATGCAAGATTCTAACTTTCTGGAGCAGCTGGACATTCAGAGGTCTCACTGACATGACAAGGAGTTACTGGTCCTCCATTAAAATAGGGACCTGTATAACACAGACATATCCAGATAGGACTTTATTCATGCCTAAAAATATGTCCAGTCAAAATCGAAAATAGGAGCACAGGGCTAATTTTTTTTTTTTTTTTCCCCTCCCAAAAGGATATCTATTCATGTTCATGTGTAGAATTCTGAAGCTTTCTGTCCGGTATTCCTTGGCCCAGAAATTGAGTGAGAAGTGAAGTTTGTTTGGAAAACTTAAAATTGGGAGCAAATGAGAAGAATCTAAGACTACAGCCAGAATAAATTTCCCTATACTTTGTATTCTGCACTGTCAGATTAAGTATAATGGAATTGCCTGTATTTAAAAGATACAACATTTCATTTATCAGTATTGTTCTTCATTCCTACCAAATTCCATTTCTCAATGACCTAAATTCTTTGTAGCCACCTGCAAGGTAAATAAAAGGGAGAAATTTTTTTTTCGGTTGGTGTTTCACAACATAATTAATGTTCGGCCTTTAGAAAGAGGAGTAGTATGCTTTTTGACACCACCATGTTTTAGTTTCTGTGAGAAGAATAGTTTGCCTGTGATTTAGTATGCTATTAAGACTGTTCTCACAGCTTGGGCAAACAAGCAGTAACATGGTCTGTGGCATTGTATACCGTCAGGACTACTGGTAGCATGTTCCAAGCATGTAGAATGTTCCCCATGGCTGGTTTTGCTATAGATATTGTCTGTACTAAGAACTTGTTTATACTTAAAAACTCAATCCGTTTTTGCAAGGAGTCTCGGTGAACTCCCAAATGCAGTATGGAAACTATTGAGACCAAAAGGATATTTTTATTTCTGCTTAACAAAGAACTTTCACATTTAAGTAACCAAAAATTCTCCCATCAGTTTTTAGATTTTGGAATCTTCAGGTGGTGGAAGAGAAGGCTGAAATGAAAGATGCAACAGAGGTGCAGATTCCTGCTAATGTGTCTTTGTTCTCTTGTTTCAGAAATTGAGTTTCCATGGTTCTTGGTTGTTATCTTCGGAGCATGTGGGCTGGCCGTAACAGTGATTTTAATCCTGCTGTCTAAACAACCAAGGTAGAGAGGTTTTATTTGTCAGATTTTATGTACTTATAGCTTAAATAATAGGGTGCTTCAGTTGTCTCAAATCTGGGGGACTAGAAACTGTTTTGAGGATTGTTCTCCATTCTCATAAGCTATATGGACACTGGCATGTGTATGTACTGGGCCTTCAGCAGTGGGAATCTGATTATGTCGACAACTACTCTTCCTTTTCGATTGCCGAACATTTTATTCTACAGTATCTACATAGTTAATTTACTTAGGCTTTGAAGGGGATTGTTTTTCTAGTACATTCAAATTTTGTAAATACTATTTTTACCCACATACTGTTCAAAAGTTTCACACAAATGTATGTCTATATATTTGTTTTTGTTCTTAGATTATTTTACTAACCTCTGACTATTTCTTCATCAAGCCAAGGGAAAGAAATTGAGTCATAGGGGAGTATTTGGTCTCTGTGGACAGACTGCAGCTCCTATAAATAACAGGAATAAAATAAAACAAAGCACAGGATTGTGTCATTTGTAAAAAATATAAAATTGTGTCATCTATAAAAATGAAACAATGACACATATATAAAAATGACAGAATGGTCTCAAAAGTTAATTCATCCCCTAATAATGTGTGTTCAGGGACATGTTTTGGCAGAATAATTCAGGTTGGATGTCATACCAGTACTGTCCTAGACTATGGAGCAGCACTGTGGTCAAGACCCAGTGCACACATGCATGTTGTCAGTGGTCTTGTATATACACTTCGAAAATGAACACTGAGGTGTTTTGCGCACACCAGCATAAGGACAAGTCATTGAAATGTAAAAATATGGTGCAGTTGGAGCACTTCTGAAAAAAAAATTTAGGCAAGCAGCACTATGCTTTGGCAGAGCTTAGTTTCAGGAAGCCACTCCCTGCAATAGCATCCTGCTCTCAGAGTTAAGAGCAAAGCTTCTGATACAGTGCATGACAAAAACTTCTGATACAATGCATGACAAAAGCTAGAAGTGTCCAAATGGGGCAAGAACAACTTGCACTTGGGACCAGGAGCTCGCTAAGATCAGCATGCTGAGCAAAAAGTGGCTTGGTCACAGAAGATCCTGAGGGCGGAAGCATGTCTCTAATCACACCTCATTAGTATCTTCCATGCTAATCATGACTGCTGGAGAAGGCTTTTCTCCACAAGGACCCTTCCTCTGGAAAGTTCTACTGGACCTATGGGCCTGCACCTTTTCCTTCAAACCGGTGCACGTGGTGGTAGGAGCGGCAATGTCTTCTGCAGAGGAGCGGGCTGCGTAGATTTCCCATAGTGCAAAATATCCAGTCTTAGTGTCCTCCTCTATCTGAAAAGATACCAATTCATATTTTCCTCTTACAAGATCTGAACCAAGCTCCCTAGGACAGATGCCACAGGGCTAGGCCATACTCTTTTAGAGCTGAGAGATGCAGGCTTGAAGTATGTGAGTCTAAGAAAGGAGGAGAGCATAGTTCTCCCTCCTGAATGATTTCTCCAGGCAGCGAGTGGTAAAATCCTTTGTTTTGTTAGAAACAGTGCCCAGTCCTGTCAGAATAGCTGATTTGTGGATTCAACTGTAACGGCACATCTTAAACTGGTACCCTGAGAGCCCAGCCAATACAAAGCTAACACAGCCCCTCCAGGGATTAGGTGGAAAATTACCGGGTTTCTGGCTCTTATTGATGCTTGCTGGGCAGAACTTTGAGGGTCTGCCAAAAACAAAAACAGCTGGGGAATTTAGGCCTGTCATAGTTAAGGAGAAGGTGCCTAAATTTCTCTCTAGCACTCCTTAAGACTCCTCTCATCCTCTCCAGATCTCACCAAGGTCACTAACAACACAACAAAATTAATATTTGGATTTGGATCTACCATTCCCACATCTTACTTTCTAAAATAAGAAAGTAACCCAGTATAAAGAGAATGCTGAATTTTCCTTTTGGGAACAACAGTTTATCTGTTTGCAAAAGAAGCAGGGAGGTAAAATGGAGGAGATTGCATGACGGGATATTGTTGGATTATTATTAATAGGAAATTATCCTTCTGTTTGGGATTTTTTTTTTGTCCCCTCAAAGAATTAGAAATTCACTGTATGAAGGATTAGAATAATATATATTTCCACAGTGTGTATATGCATAAGGAAGTTACTAATCTGTTCTCTACAAGGGTAAAACCCTGTTGTTATTATGTATTACTTGTTATGTTGATAATTCAGAAAACAGAAGTGTCATAGAGACGGCAAAATACTAGCCTAGATTTTTGCAGTTGTGTTTCTGTTTTATTTATTAGTTCTAAAGTAATTCACTCTTTTCACTAACTCCCTTTCTCTATTCCCCTATTTAAATTTTTTGCACTTATGCAAGACTAGTGTGTCCCTGAAAAAAAAAAATTTGGAAAGTCACTCTGCACATGACTTGTTTCATGTTCCTCTGAGATTATATATAAAGGGAAACTATTGACAGAGCTCTAGGAATTCACTCTCTTTCTATAGACCATTAAATTATCAAAGACCGGACTCCAAAATGGATTCACACATAAATGCGATTTCAACAAGAAAGGCTGCAGAAAACTTTTTTATTTTTTGCAATGAGAGAAAACAATCATTCTTTTCCTTAGGACTATTTGCAATTGAATCTTCAAACATTTCAATTTTGAAGTGATTAAGTATAAATGCAATTTAAGGCTCTTCTTTCTAACTTCTTCAAAAAGGACCACCGTCAATTAAAGGACATCTTTTTTTTTTCCCCCTCAGGTTAAAAATGTTGATTTTCCCTCCTGTGCCAGTTCCAAAGATTAAAGGGATTGACCCAGATCTCTTGAAGGTAATGTTGTGCTCTAAAATCTACAGTGGGAATCATTGTGGTAGTAGCAGGTGACAATTGCTGTCCCACGCAAAAAAATTGGGAAAGAATTATGCCACAGAATTAGTTTTCATAAATTAATTAAAAAACCCCTTTCAATCATTACATCAGCTACAGTTACCTTTCCTTAAGTTAACATCATAATAAGCACAAGTATTTTTATTCTTTCCTTTATAACATTCATTTTTTCTTGCTTTATAGAAAGGAAAGCTAGATGAAGTGAACTCCATCTTAGCCAGCCATGACAACTACAAAACACAGCTATACAATGATGACTTGTGGGTTGAGTTTATCGAGTTGGACATAGAAGACCCTGATGAAAAGAACAGAGTCTCAGATACTGACAGGCTCCTGAGCGAAGATCATCTGAAATCACACAGTTGCTTGGGAGCAAAGGATGATGATTCTGGACGGGCCAGTTGTTGTGAACCAGATATTCCAGAGACAGACTTCAGTGCAAGCGACACATGTGATGCCATCTCAGATATTGATCAGTTCAAAAAGGTAACTGAAAAAGAGGAGGATCTCTTGTGCCTTGATAGAAAAGATAACGATGAGTCAATTCCCAGCCTTGCCGACATAGACACCCAACAGCCGCGTATGAGTACTCAGTCCGAAAATAGCCAGCCACGGCCACCTTTTGCAGGCAGCATTGACTCAGCTAGTCCATCAGTCCATGCCCAGCTAAGTAACCAGAATTCATTGACAAATACTGACTTTTATGCGCAAGTGAGTGATATTACTCCAGCGGGCAGTGTTGTACTTTCACCAGGGCAGAAATCCAAGGTGGGGAGAGCACAGTGTGAAGGCTGCACAGAACAAAACTTCACCATGGACAACGCCTACTTCTGTGAGGCAGATGTGAAAAAATGTATTGCTGTGACTTCCCATGAAGAGGATGAGCCGCATGTTCAGGAGCAAAGCTGTAACGAGGACGCTTACTTCACCACAGAGAGCCTTACCACTACTGGTGTCAATCTTGGAGCTTCAACAGCAGAAACCCCAAGTTCAGAGTTGCCTGTCCCAGACTATACGTCTATTCATATCGTTCACTCTCCACAAGGCCTTGTGCTCAACGCAACAGCACTGCCTGTGCCAGAAAAGGAATTCAACATGTCGTGTGGCTATGTGAGCACAGACCAGCTGAACAAAATCATGCCGTAGCTCTTCTTTGACTAGGTGTGTGCAGTATTTCACAGCAGAGAGTCAGCCCGGGCTTGTATGCTGAAACCAAAATGAAGTCTAAAAGTTTCTCGTGGTTCTTATAATTTTAGCTGAAATGTTGCAACATAGAATATTCATCAAAATATTCCTATTGTGTTCTGTAAATATTATCTATAAATTTGTCTTGAGACTGTTTTACTAGCAGTGACTGTCTTGTTCTTGTGGATGTTGATTTTTGTGATACTAAACATTGAAATTACTATGTTTAATGTACAGTAAATCATGCATTTTGATAAAGCTAAAAATCAGGTGGTTTAAAGTCTAAGAATTTAGTAAGAACCATGCTGTTGGCAGAGATCTTTATATCAGTAATTTGGAACTGAACATATAGGTGAAAAAACAAAAGTAGCTTGAATGAATAACACATCTATTTTGATTTATATAAATTAATAAAATATATTTTAATATTTTAGTCATAAAAACATAAACCTTTTCTATTACACTACACACTGTAGTTCAATTATTATGACCCATCTAAGGAATATAATTGCTGCAATCTTAAAAAGGAGTTCTCTGTTTTATAAAAGTTTTGTTTGCAGCAAAAGAAAGAAATAGATTTTTACAGAGCCATTTTATACCTCCAAAGAAACCTGTAGAGAAATTTTGAAATATTATAGAAACTTAAAGTAACTGATTCTATTACTTTCTTATGGTACCTAATATAGACATATACATTCAATTTAAAGTTTTGTAGAAAACTTTAAAATATACAAAATATTTGGGCAATTTATTCTGTTCTTCATCAGATTCTGGTTAATGCTAATAATATACTTTTTTATAAGCAAAATTTTGTTGACCACAGTGTTAAACAGTGTGCAACTATACTTTCACTGAAAATTTTTGAGAACACATGAATAAGCTCTGGTGACTTAGCAGCATAATCTCTTCACATTTGACCAACTTCTGAAGCCCTCCTACAGCCAAAGGTATCACTACGTTTACGAGTTTGCACCACATAAAGTCTTGATTAAAAAAATAAAATAGGGACTTCAGGAGTTAGCCAGCAGTTCATTTTTAGAGATATAACAGAATTAAAAGACTTCAGTGGAACATGGGAATTGAATACAATATTGTTCAAAAGTGTTTTTCATTTTTGCAGCCTAACAACATCTCCTCTGACCACGTTAGGCAGACTTTCAGAAGGAAAGGAGAGGAAACTGAAACTCAGTGGGAAAGCTCTCTTTGTTCTTAGGTACATTAAGAACTTGACGGAGCTCTGCAATGAACTATTATTGCTTCAGAAGTTACCTTCCTAGGCCCTGGTTTCATCACAGCAGGGTTCCTCTTAGAGAGCAAACAGGGACGTTCATTTCTTTGACCTGACCTGAACAGTGGTGTATGAAGTACAGCGAATGCAGGGCGAATGGAGGTCTTGCTCATGATGTCTCCCACTGAACTCACTGATGCTCTCTTTGTGGCCAAGGGCTACAGGACTGGGCCCAACTATTGGGTGGGATTTTTAAGTTTAGCATGTACTTTATGGTAAATGTGTATTAGATATTCTGCTAATTTGCTGCTATATTTTTCTAACAGCTACATTATTTAGTTTCATATAAAATTTCATAGATGATAGACACTAATGCAAGCAATGCCTACGTGTGTGTTTGAAAGAAGTTTCTTACTCTGTTTCTATTGCCAAAAATAGTTAAATACCTCAATCAAACTCAGAATGTCATTTTGGTACTTTACTGGTCACACAAGCCATTATACGCTGGTCAGAAGATGTGTCTTTCAGTTTCTATTTAACTTTCCTTATGTCGGTGTTTTGTTTGTTTTTCTCGAAGTTTAATAAATGTATTGTCTTTGATCTGTCCTGACACAATGTGTTTTATTGCAGATAATTAATTTTTTATGGAAAACCGAGATTTTATGAGGAGAAATCAAGTATTTCTCATTGAATAAAGTAGAATGCAGCTTTGCTTAGAATAGAAGCAGTGCCTAATGAGATCAGTGTTTTCCCTGATTGATATCTGTGTAGTTAAAAATAGAAGCATGGACCTAAATTTATAGATGGAGATAGGACGTGCTGTACCCAGAACTGGCCAAGACATGTGTTGCTAATTTAGCAGACCCGTTTACCTTTGGCTGGAACAGCCTGTGGTTGCAAACAAATAAGCTGCACTAGTTCAAAATTTACACCTACGGTTGAATCCACAAATCAGATATTCTGACAAACCTTGGTAGTTACTTGTAGTGATAGTTAAAACCGAGCAGGATATGAACTCTGAAATGTCAGAAGTCTCAGATAGTCTCTATGGAAAAAGCCGTATCTTGAATGTCTCCCAGTGTGTACTTGGTAATGTACTCCTGCGTCTCTTCTCTCTCTAGAGGAAGGGAGGGAGCTGTTGGGGGAATCTGACTAGATAAGGGTAAGCCCTTTCCTTCCCAGAGAATCAGGGTGGGATTCAGTTCCACTACACTGAGGTCCAGTGCTATTTAAGGTATGTAATCAAACTTCCAGGTGCTCGTCCAGAACAGCAGAGGTCTCTTATCTAAAAGGCTGAATGATGGTAGATGCCCATGTTTTGGCAGTTGAATTGATCCCAGCAGAAGAAAACAGCTCCAGGAATGTAAACATCTTTATATCAGGTAGATCTAAGTGACCATTACAGTTAATAGCCTAAAAGAGCTACTTAGCTCACTAGATATATGTGTCTGCTTTAGGTGAGCTGATTAGGGCTCTCCACTCTTCAGACTAGAATGGGAGCATGGGCATCTTGTTCATATTCAGATACCAAATATATTTGTTAAATAAGGCTCTTGTTGATGTGAATTTCACCTTAGCTTAACCATAGGACAAGGTAAGCCAGAGAGGGGCATTGGTGTTCTCTTATGGTTTATACTCTGCAGAAAAATCTTCTGTAGAACTCAATGCAAATGAAATATCATGATGCTTGCTTACACCTCCTGCTTGAAGAACTAAGCTTCAGAAGGCTTATGCCATTTATAAGGCTCTAAAAATACCTGAGCTCCAGTAGGAGTTGGACAATTCACAGCTGCACTTAAAGACAGTGGTTCACCCCTGCCATGTGGGGAACTCCAGCTCCCACGACTCTCACCTGTGCCAGTTCCAGTGCTCTCTGCCAACTTTCTAAAACCCAAGCAAATTATGAAAGCAATGTATCAGAAGTTACCTTCTGTTGATTAATGAGTTAAACTGATTGAGCAAAGTCCCAGATGAGCACTGTGAAAAGACAGCTTGAGCTCCTTCCCATCTCCAGCAGCAGTACAGCTCAAGTAATCACATGCCTAATGACTGCAGTCTGTGTACAGTTCACATGTGGGTGTTTAGAAGAGAAATCCAAGTGTCAGACTTGCAATTGTCTCTGAATTTTATGTTTTATACTGGCAATCTGCTGTTCCCCTACAAAACACAGCAACCTATTATTTCAAGATATGATGCACTTGCCAGATACAAAAAAGCTTATATTACACAGTTGCAAAGCAACATGGTTTTTTACTTTCACCTTTTCTTTGGAGTGAGGGAAAATACATCTGTGCTCTACAGAAAGAGCCTCTGGACCAGTATATTTTTATCTTCTCTCTTATTCGCATTGAGAAATAATGCTACATATTGCCCAATGCCAGATGTGCATCAATGTAAAAGTGACAGGATTTATTCTTTCAGAAATGCCTATTAAAATTGTATTTTCCAAGTTTAATCAATAGCTAAAATGTACAAGGTGAAAAGAAACAGACATCACAGAGGGACACTGTAAGCAAGGAGTATTTTGGTGGTTAAACCAGTGACTTTCACTGCATTGAAGCTTTTGGCATGTAAACTGGATGCACTTGTTCCTGTTCTTGGAATGACATTTTACTCATATATTGCCTGGCAGAGGCTAGTTTATATGAATATCTGTATTCGAAAACTATGTTGGTTCTAAAAAGCAAGGAGGACTCAAGTTGCTCTGCTGGATGCCTTTTGGTGTCATCAAGAAGCACACCTCAGGCTGGAAGAGTTTGGTTTTGAGCCTCTTTTTCATCAAAGACAATGTGTATTTCCAAGGCTTCAAGTTACTGTTACAAGAAACTGAAACAGCACCATCTATACCAGTTTCCATTAAGATAAGAAATAATTTTGTCAAACATAATGACTTACACTTCTGTTCTTTACTACTTGAGTTGAAATATTTTTCCTGACTTATGATACAGGAGGTGAGATCAGCAGATTATGAGAGCTGTTCACTCTTTCTGAATGAAAATTAGCATTATCAAAGGTGTGTTTTGTATTTCAAAATAGTAGGAGCATTAAAGAAAAGATGAGTGTTCTGTAGACTTTCCATGCTGTTATGGCTTAGCCCCAGCTGGCAACAAAAAAACCACACAGCCTCTTGCTCACTCCTTTTCCCCCAAGTGGGATCGGGAGGAGAATGGGAAGAAAAAAATGTGCTTTTAGAAATGCTTCAAGTTAATGATGGCAATCTATGTTGGGAACACTCTTACTGTCATTCACAGCTTAATATATACAACTATTTATGCATCAGCAATTATAAGAATAGGAAATAAGGCTCTGGTTCAAAGAAAAACTTAAAACCGTATGATGTAGGCACAGGCAACCTGGTTTTCCCACACTGAGATGTGCTATCTCAGGGGCTTATTAGCAGACACCCTATACAAAGGAGTGCCTGATTCAGATTGCCCGATTTGAGATGAAAAGGGAGAAAAAGCTTAAAGCATGTTGTTATTTTTATTAAAGAAGCGATGCAAATTTGGGGATGGGGAAAGAGGTAAACACTACAGAACAGAACTTTCATTACACATTTTTCAGTTCTAATTCAGAATATCCTAGTTCACCAAGCCTGTGACGTTGGTAAGAATTTAACCAGCTTTTATAGCCAATTGACTTTGAGGAGATACCAGTGGATGTATTTCTGTCTTGGAACTCCTGATTAAATATAATTTTACAGTACAAATTTTTCTTTTTGACTGACTGTTATTAATTGCACACATAGTCAGTACTTCAACTGCCATAGAAACCACACCCTCAGGCCACGCAGAAGCAAGATGTAGCACAAATCCATTTCCATGATTTGTATATTACTTAAAAACTGTGGCATAACTGTATTCAGCAAGCATTTCCTCACCTTCCCTAATCAGGGCTATTACAGTAGGCAACATTCAGAAACAGATGGAAGGGAAGAGAAACAGTAACAGTGCTGTTAGAGAACCAGGCACAGTGGAGCAGCTGCCAAGACTCAGAAACGCGCAGGGTAATTAGCTGTAGGTGGAGCTGTAGGAGTGGCGTGGGTGACAACAACTATAGTCAGTAGTTGTAATGAAAGCAGATGCAGCTATTAAAATTGATGCATCTAGTAAATGGACACAAATGTTTGACAGGTTTCATTTTTTTGCCACGGGCTTTGGTATTTCTTTTGCATAATATGAACTTCTTTATCCTAATATATGAGATTT